CAGGGTCGCTATGAGTCGGACGGAACCGACTCCACAGCATATAACAACAACAAATATATATAATGTTTTATTATATATTAAACATATTATATTATTAATATATTAAGTTGAGGAAAACAGTACTTTTTGATGAGGGTTAATCTAAAGTCTTGGATGCACACCTTGTAAACTAAATCGGGGCCCAAATCAGCTACTCACCATAGGAAATAGAATCCCCTTGGGCTATTTCCTTGAAGAGTCCAGAAACATCCAGGTCAGGCACCCCAAGGGAAGCCTGCAGAATGGTGGAAAACTCCTCCTCTGTGATGCAGCCATCCTCATCCACATCAAAGAGCTGAAGGAAAAGAAGTGAACCATAAGAATTAGCTTCCATGGACTAATAATGGGATGGGGAAATTAACTCTGATCATTCAAACATTTCTTGTGCCAGGGATCAGAACTAGATCCGTGCAGACAGCATACTCTAATGTCCTCACAGCACTTACAGTCTCCTGGTGGAAATACACAGAATCAGAAATCCAATCAACTACCACAGAGTCAAGTCTGACTCAGAGTGAACCCGAGGACAGAGCAGAACGGCTTTCGCTCCTGGAGCTTTCTCCCAGGCTTGAGCAGACCTTGTTGTTAGCACCTCAATGCTTAACCCACAGCACCACCAAAGCTCCTAGGAATTTAAATGGAGGCTGTAGGGTAGTAAGTGTATGCTGTGGAGAGTATAAGGAGTCCTACCCAGAAAGGAAGAGACATCTGAGTTAGGTCTTAAACATGAGGAGGTGACAGTCTGGGCCTTAAGGTAGGAGACTGAAGACAACCAGATCATGATGGGTAAATGCCACAAGAGTCCTTTAGGTAATGGGAAGGGTATGATGTGATGGTGTATGAGTTGAGGAAGCTGCTTTAGGTCGAGTGTGAAAGATGAACTGGAGGAAGAGGTTGGTAAAACTAGAGGCAGAAAAACCAATGAAGAGTTTGGAGTTGAGAAGTAGGAGTAATAGTGAGGGGTGGAATTTCTAGGAATTGCAATCAGTCAGATGTCTGCTGCTGAATCAAAACTGACTTAATAGTACCCAACAACAACAGTGATGAAAAGAAAGGCATCAAAGATGGCTGGAAAAATTTTCCAGAAACAAGATGATGGAAGTTTCCTAGCTTGGGCAACTGGGTGGAAGCAAGTTGCATTAATCAAGACGAGAACAGTCAGAAGAACAGGTGCCAAGAATAGATCAAGAGTTGGACCTGAATAGGTGGAAGATGGAATTTGGGTTAAGGTGCCAGAAGCAAGTACAAGCTAAAGCATATCACCTCAGGAGACTGATGAGACCTGAGATATGAATTCAGATACAGCTGAAACTATGGGGTGTGTTTAGCTTATGTTAGAGGATGTATAAAATAGCACACAGTCCCAGGACTTAAGAGCTGTGTGTGGAGAAGAAGAACTGGAAAGGACAACTTAGAATCAGTAGCCAGAAAGCAAGAAAAACCAGGGAAGGGTAGCACGCATCTTGGAAGTGCAAGGTGGGCCTTCAGGAAAGAGGAAGAAACTTTTGGTAATTGCCAGTAGAGTAAAACACCAAATAAAGGCCAAACAAGAAGTGAAAAGAGTTGTTGGGTTTGGTAACTAGGAGAGCTTAAGGATATATTATATTTAGTTAAGCATTTCAAGGATCTGGAAGCCAGATGGTAATGGAATCAAGGAATGAAGGGAAGTGAACAGTGGAGACAACAAATATGAACTCTTCTTTCAAAGAATTGTAGAATAGAAGGAAGGAGACAAATGGAGTGATAGCCAGGAGTATGAATGTCTTTAGGGAAGGGAAGACTAATTGGACTGAGAGTCAAGACGCAAAACAGAGATAACCAATGGATAATTAATATCCCAAGTTTAAAACAGCTCCCGGGCATTAAGAATTGTAAGCGACATAAGCACTTGCTCATTGTAGGCTCAGATCAAAAATGTTCAAATCCTGTTAAATGCCTTAGCTCCTTTAACCCTCACAGTAGTCTTATGTAAGGTAGGTGGCATTGTCAGCCCTCTCTGACACAGGAGCAAGTTGATGTACATGGAATTGGGTAACTTTTCCAATGTCACATAGCTAGTAAGTGGTAGAGCTGGCATCCAAATGCAGGCAGATACTATCTAGAGTTCCCACTGTAGGTATGTACTTCTGATCAAATAAACGATCAAAAGCAAACAGATAGGCATTAGAGACAGTGATATACCCATGAAAAGAACAAACAACAGGCAAATATGGAATAGTGCTTCAATTGTTCATGAGGGCTGGAGGAAAATATAACTTGAAGTTTGCTGACCCCAGCTGAGAACGTACTGGTTTCTAGTCTAATTCCTCCTCATGAGGGAGAGGATACTTGGAAATTGAAAGGGAATTAGCATCTCTTTTCACAAACTATATCCTCAGGGCTCTTTATGGGCCTTGGACTTCAAACAGTGCAGTGTAGTAAATTATTTAATGCCTCTTCCAGCCAAAGTCTTTGTAAACTCCCACCAAACAACTTTTTCCTGATGGGTCCTATGGGTAAGAAAAGGTGAGGGAACATGCGATGGATTATACGATTCAGTTGTCAGTGACTGTTAACAGGGAACCTTGGAACTCCAATGTGGGTATAAAACGTGCCATTTCAGAAGCAGGAGAGGGGATCTCACTATCATCAAAGAAGAGCCGGGAGTGGAGTATGAGATCCCTGCACAATGAACCTTCTCGATCCAGGGACAGAAAGCTGTGACGTCAGAGGAGCGGCAGAGGAGCAGCAGCAGAGCCAAGAACCAGAGGAGGAGACAGTGAGCTTCCCAGCCCACGGTCCGAGCAAAGCTCAGTGATTGTGGGCTGGAGGCTTGCTTGCACAGCGGGGTGCCTCCAGGAACTTAATTTGGGTTGCTAGGTTTGCTGACCCAAGGTGTTAAGAGTCCAGTGCCTTCAAGTTGAGGCTTATGATGGAGTAGTGTCTCTTGTGGGCATTTACCAGCAGTCCTAAAAGACTTTGTTGAGCAGGGCAGAGGCTAGGCCACGAGGCCAAGGACCAGAGAGGCACGGCAGAGAGGAGCTGCTCCCTGAACATTTCTGACCCTGAAATGTAACTTGTTGCCTTTCCTAATAAACCCCACAGCTGTGACTATGGTGTCTGAATTCTGTGAGGTCCCTGCAGTGAAGTATCAAACTCCGCTGAGTGAAAGGGATGGTTGATGCCTTTTTTTGGCAAACAGTAACTGCCAAGACTATCATATCCCTCTCCTCAGAAGCTTTAAGCTTTCTTCAAAAGAATATTACAGTTTTACCTTCTGTCCCTAAACTACTCTCACCAACTCATCGTGGTCTCAATTCTAGTCCTTTTTTGGTGCTTTGACGGTCCTCACTTTTACAGAAGTTCCTTCTGTGTTTATCCCGTTACTTCTACATCTGTCCTTTGCTGCCACTATCCTGGTCACTCCCTCAATTTCCCTCACCTACTCCCAACAGTCTCCTGTCTACACAGTCCCCACACCTAGGTGAACTAACTGAGCAGTTGGCCTCAAGCTGATTTGGACCCATAGCAACCATACATGATAGAGTCCAACTGTCCCATAGGGTTTTTCTGTCAATCTTCACAGAAGCAGATTGCTTATCTTTTTCCTGAAGAGCAGCTGGTGGGTTCGAATTACTGACCTCTCAGCAGCTGAACTAAAATTTGTGCTCTGACAAGAAGTTTAACAGCTTCTTTGGGGAGAATTAATCTCTCCCCATTGCAAAGGATACTGTAGGACTCTTAATCAAAACATCCTGCCTTTCCTAGCAGGCACTTGGCTTAAGCCCATCTGGACCCTCCCTGGAATTTGAATTATGAACAGAGTTAGAGTTTGCTTGTTGCAACGTTAGTGCCCAAAGGAGTTCCTGCAGCCAGGACCCCTGAAATAGCCTATATTGAAGCCTTCCCTTGAGCCTACTTCAGAGCCTTACAGCAAAGTTAGCCCAAGTCTATTTCTACTGTTTGCAAAACTGAAGAACTCAAATACTATTTTACCTCTAAATTTTAGGTCAGTGTGAAGATGAAATGAGATTTTAAGGAGAAAAAAGGGGGAGTATTTTGTTAATTGTCAAGTGCCAGATGATAAAAGGATACTACAGGTAAAAGTGTATTGTTAAATTAAAAGTAAAACAGGCAAAAATAGTTTAAAAAATATAAAATACACCTGAGAATCAAGGTTAAAAAATAACCAATGTAAAGCATGACTTTTGCCTTATTGGAAATATAGCTAATTATAGTTTTAGGACTGTTTCCTCCCTTTCTCTACCCGCAAACCAAGATCTAGGCTATATAGAAATCACAAGACTTCCCTAAAAGCAATAATTACTGTGATTAAGGGCCAACATTCCTAACAGGCCTTTCATTGGTAAACCTAAAGTGACCATTTAGCCAACTAAACATAATTACACATACAGCCCCAAAACAGAAACAAATATTTAAATAGGAATGAGTTAGCTTTGTGTGTAATTTTAGGTTTTATGATGTGTAAGTCTGTAAAAGTCCAAGCTTTTAAACTTGGATCGAGTTCTGGCCCCTGCCTTATGGCCATCTGCTAAGCATCAACCGCTTAGGTTCTTTGGGCCTAACTCGTTTTAAACCAATCTGAAATCAAAAAGTAAACGAAGGCACTCTTAGTCAGTAAGAGACACGTGGGCATTCCTTAGGCCTCCTGGCTGGTCTGGTAGATGAGGGAGAAGACTCCTGAAGGAACACAGTCTCTAATAATAAAGAAAGAAGGCTTGTCCGAGTCACTATGGAGTGATTTCTGTCCCTCAAGCCCTATATGCTAGGAACGACTGTGATAGGATAATATCCAAGGAAGATCAGTTACTACCAGTACCATTCAAATTTACATACCAACCATTAAAGCCTGTGATGATGAAATGAAAGAGTTCTACCAAAGGAGCTCTGGTAGTGTAGTGGATTACAAACTGGGCTGCTAACTGACCCGTCGCTCCGGGGAAGAAAGATGAAGCTTTCTGCTCCTGTCCCTGGAAATCCTATACAGGGTCACTCTGAGTCAGAACTAACTTGATGGATCACCACCACCACCAACAACAAATTCAGTCTGAAATCGATTAAACATGCAATCAAGATGTACTGATAATTACAGGTGATTGGAATGCAAAGGTTGGAAACTAAGAGGAAGGATCAGTAGTTGGAAAATACAGTCTTATAGAAATGAAGCTGGAGATCCCATGATAGAATTTGCAAGACCAATGATTTGTTCATTGCAAATACCATTTTTATACATCAAGGAAGGCAACTGTACACATGAGTCTCACCAGAAGGAATACACAGGAATCAAACTGACTACATCTGTGGGAAGAGGCAGGTAGAAAAGCTCCATATTATCAGCCAAAACAAGGCCAGGGTCCAACTGTGGAATAGACTGTCAATTGCTCATATGCAAGTTCAGGCTGAAACTGAAGAAAATGAAAACAAGTATACACAAGAGCCAAACTATGACCCTGAACATCTCCCACCTGGATTTCTTGAGACTGTCTGAAAAGATTTGATGCTTTAGACACTAATAACTGAAAACCAGAAGTTCTGTGGGATGACATCAAAACATCATATAGGAAGAAAGCAAAAGGTCATGAAAATGACAGGAAAGGAAGAAAAGACCAAAATGGGCACCAGAGTAGACTCTGAAGCTTTCCCTACAGCACAAAAATGTTAAAGCAAAAGGAAAAAAAGAGGAAGTAAAACAGCTGAACAGAAAAATGTAAAGGACAGCTTAAAAAGACAAAGTCAAGTATTATAATGAAAACCAAAAGGGAAGAATGCTTACCATTTCTCAAACTGAAAAAAAAGCTGAAGAAAAAATTCAAGTCTCAACTTGAAATACTAAAGGATTCCATGGGGAAAATATTGAATGATGCAGAAAGCATCAAAAGAAGATGGAAAAAATACAGTCATTGTATCAAAAAGAAATGGTCGATGTTCAACCATTTCAAGAGGTAGCATATGATCAAGAATCGATAGTACTCAAGGAAGAAGTCCAAACTGCACTGAAGGCATTAGTGAAAAACAAGGAAGGCAACAGGAATTGATGGAATACAAATTGAAATCTTTCAACAAACTGAAGGAGCATTGGAGGCACTCACTCGTCTATGCCAAGGAATTTGGAAGACAGCTGCCTGACCAACCAATTGCAAGAGATCCATATTTGTGCCCATTCCAAAGAGAGGTGACCCAGTGAAATGCAGAAATCATTGACTAATATCATTAATATCACATGTTAAGTTAAAATTTGGCTGAATATCATTCAAAAATGGCTGCAACCAGTATATTGACAGGGAACTGCCAGAAACTCAAGCTGGATTCAGAAGAGGATGTGGAACAAAGGATATCATTGCTGACATCAGATGGATCTTGTCTGAAAGCAGAGAATACCAGAAAGATGTTTACTTGTACTTGGTTGACTATGCAAAGGCTTTAGACTGTGTGGATCATGACATGCTATGGACAACATTGGAAAGAATGGATATATCAGAACACCCGATTGTGTTCATGAGGATCCTGAACATAGACCAAGAGCAGTTGTTCAAATAGCACAAGGGGACACTGAGTGGTTTAAAATCAGGAAGCGTGTGAACTAGGGCTGTATTCATTCACCATACTTAGTCTGAAAAGCTGGATTATGAGGAAGAGTGTGGCAACAGGATTTGAGAAAGATTTATTTACAACTTGCGATATGCAGATGATACAGCCTTGCTTGTTGAAAGTGAAGAGGACTTAAAAATGCTAATGAAGATCAAAGACCACAGCCTTCAGTATGGATTGCAAATCATTATAAAGAAAAGTATCCTCACATCTGGACCGATAAACAACATCGTGATAAATGGACAAAAGATTGAAGTTGTCAAAGGCTTCATTTTGCTTGGATCCACAATCAACACTCATGGAAGCAGCAAGAAATCAAACAACTACATTAGGCAGATCTGCTGCACAAGACCTTTGTAAAGTGTTCAAGACCCAAGACATCAGTTTGAGGACAAAGGTGCGCCTTACCTAAGCCATGGTATTTTCAATGGCCTCATATTCACGTGAAAGTTGGACAATGAATAAGGAAGACTTGTAGAATTGATTCATTTGATCTATGGTGTTGGAGAAGACTGTCTGAAGAACATACAAATCTGTGTTGGAAGAAGTACAGCCAAAATGCTTCTTAGAAGCCAGGAAGGCAACACTTTCTCTCTCATACTTAGGACATGTTATTAGGTGGGGTCAGTCCCTGGAGAAGGACATCATGCTTGGTAAGGTGGAGGGTCAGTGAAACAGAGGAAGAGCCCCAACAGAATGGATTGGCACAGTAGCGGCAATGGGCTGGAGTGTTAACAACTCTGAGGCTACTGCAGGGTTGGTCAGTGCTTAGTTCTGTTGTGCATGAGCTGGAACTGACTGGAGGGCACCAATCAGTAACAACAATACAATGGGATGCAATCCCGTTAGGAAACATTTTCTTTGTCATGTAAATGAGCCCTATCAATGTTTTAAATCTACTCCTTTTGAGCGATAAAATGAGCAGATTAGGCACAGAGAAGCAAGCACAGGGGGGAAGATTTGCGCCACGTGGAGATTGTCAAGGAATCAAAGAATGCTGGGTCTATAGAAATTGAAAGAGATCTTCCCCAGACATGACAAACACAGAGAGAGAGAGCCTTCCCCCAGAACCAGTGCCCTGAATTTGGAGCTTTGGTAGCGCAGTGGTTATGAATCGGGCTGCGAACCACAAGGTCAGCAGTTCGAAACTACCAGCTGCTCCGCAGGAGAAAGATGAGGCGTTCTGCTCCTGTAAAGATTAACAACCTAGGAAACCCTATGTAGGGTCACTATGAGTTGGAACCGACTCCACATAACATACATAACACATAACAACAACAACGTCTTCCTACACTGTGAGAAAATAAGGTTCTGTTTTGTGCTGGTTACAGAAGCACAAAGAAGCTAAGATACAGTGGGATCTTCTTCTCCAGTAAGGAATAGAGTCATCTCAGGAAGTGGTTAACTCCTGAGGAAAGGGGAACAGGAAAGGTCAGATGCTGGCATGCTGGATAGAAGGAAACAGACCAAGTGGCTGAACAAGAAGAGGTCAATATAAAATTTTCTATATGTAGGAAGATCAAGTTTTTGATTTGAGAGCTGACCTCACAAGCCTAAAACATCCTGTTTAAATACTAATTAGATCAAGCACCTTTAATCTCAGAAGAACCTCTCCTTTTGTACATGTAGGAGATAAGTGTAGTCTGCATTTTCAACAATTCATATTTCCACGAAGCTTTTATAAGGACCTGGACCATGGATTTTTATTCATTTCGTAGTGCTTACGAATTGGGCTGCGAACCTTAAGGTCAGCGGTTCGAAACTACCAGCTGCTCCGCGGGAGAAAGATCAGGCTTTCTACTCCCGTAAAGATTTACACCCTCGGAACCCCTGTACAGGGTCGCCATGGGTCGAAACCGACTCGACGGCACTTAACAACAACAACAACAACAACAGCCCCCAATTTAGCACCCTGTATTACTGTAAAAATATACGAGTATATGATACTGCAAGAAAATAAGCAGAGTGAGGATTTATGATGGTGTTCACCTGAAACCACCCCGACAGAAGAGACCCATCAGAAACAAAACAAAACCCCCACTTCAAATCTGAGTGAGAAAGTAAGGCTGGATCAGGACTCTACAGATGCTGAATTAGGACGACTAGTGACAGGTGGTGTTTATTTATAGACCTCATTTTGGGGTTTCAAAATGGGGAGGCTGAAAAGAAATAATTTCAGTGAATTTGTTAAATCACCCGCTTTTCAATCTTGATGCTGTTAACGAAGCTGCTTCCACATGGTGCTATGCTTAAACGGATGCTTGTGTTTTCTTTATTCTCAGTAGCAATTGACTTAATGACATTACTCTCGTATACATGTCACAGCAGATCTATAAAGTCACGTAATGGATTCACTGATTTCCAAATAATACACTTAGAGTCAACACTTGTTTGTGAGGCAGACCGAGATGCTTTCAGCGGGGCTGACAGTACCTTAAATGCCACCTGGATGATTTCCTCTGTGTTGGCAGGGTTGCACAACACAGCCAGGCCAATCACATACTCGCGGAAGTCAATGCTGCCATCGTGGTTCTGTGAAAGGAGGGGAGAAATCAATGAGGACGGCCATTAGCTGAATTATCACTCATCAGAGCTCACAAGGTGGAATTCAGGTATACCAGCCAGCTCGCTGTCTTCATGCACTGAAGCTAATTAGATATAAGTTCACAGTGAGCTTGGCAGCAAGCAAGTACCCACCCATCCCCATTTCCAGAGGGAAAAATATTCTTTCTCTACATAGAAACCATATAAGAGCATTTTATCACTGGAGACTCGTTGTCGTTGTTAAATACCGTGGAGTCAGTTCCAACTCAGTGACCCTGCACAGGGTTTCTGAGGCTGTAAATCTTTATGGGAGCAGGACATCTTTCTCCCGTGGAACTGCCGGTAGTTTCGAACTGCTGACTTTGATGTTGGCAGCCCAACTCATAACCACTACGCTACCAGAGCTCCTGGAGCCTCTTAGGGTGTCCCTATAATGTCAGAGTGGTTCTTTGAGCTCAACCCTAATGGGAGTCTAACTGGGAGGCAGGTCAGAGACCAGGTGGGACCAATCCATTCATTCCATCACGAAGGCCAGTATCACACCTTTATGAACTAAAGGGCCACGAGGCATATGTGGACCACGGGAGGGAGAAGGAAAGGGCAAACTGAGACCTTAATCATAGTTACATCCTTTCTTTCTCCCAAGCTTAATTTCCAGTAAAACAGAAACAGCTGGAGCAAATCTGGGACGCTTCAATGGTCCCTTGGGAACATCAGACCCAAGGAGAGCCTGAACTTCACAGACGTTGCTCCAGCTAAGCCTCTGGAAACCAAACACAAGATGCTAGTATCTGCAGGTGTCAGTAGGCATTTCATGGCATTATAAAAGAGGAGACTGGCAATTAGAATCCAGGTTAAACAGAGTTTATCCTACATACTAACTACTCACCTACACAGAAACACAGAATGGAAATGGATACAAAATAGAGAGCTTAAGAAAGGGAGGGAGAAAGGCAAAGTAGAGGAAAGAGCTGAAGAAATAACTAAGCGAAAAACCTAAAAGAAGGAAAGGGAGAGACAGGGCACATGAAATGGAGAGTGGAAAAGAAAGATGAAGGGTGAAAGAGAATGTTAACACACCCTCTAGTTCCAAATCCCAGAGGGCAGGGTCACTCTGGCAGCAAAATCTCCCCAAAGATGAATGTCAGATAAACTATAAACTAGTAACAACAAAGTTAGCACAGTACTTGACAGATTAACAAATAATGTTTGCCATTTGTAAGATTGCAATCTTTAATGATGATTCTAAGATTACTGATCTATAGATATGACTCAATATGGGGAATTTCTTCTGCATTCTGTTTTCTCTACTAAACAACATAGAAGTCTTGAATCACAGTTCTTTAATTAATCACTGGTTATTTATGGGCCCTGATAGTATAGTTGTAAATTATTTGTAAAACCAGAAATACTCCTTTGAACTTCTGTCCCGTCTTTATTGCAAGACATTCTTTTTTTTTTTTTTAAATAAATGTTTTATTGTGTATTGTGTGATAGTTAGTTTTACATTCATTCTATCATACATCATTTCACTGCCATAGTTACCATCCCATCCATGCATCATCCCCCAACTAAAGGGTATACCCTGCAAGCCCACCACCCTCCCCCACCCCCACGGTCCTCAGCACACAGCCCCTTTCCCTCTCTGGATCTCAAGTCCCCAGCCACTCCATCTCTTCACGTCATCCTCTCTGTCTCCATCTCAGGCCTCACTGCTTCTCTGGGTGGGGTCCCGCTCTCCGCTCTTCTCCATTGATGGTCCCAGGGCCCTCCGCTCCTAGACTGAAAGGTTAATCACTCCCTTCCTTGCTATAAAATATCCACCTTTACATTTCCAGTCCTCACAATCAGTCCTGGTAACAATTATTCACCACTGCATCACAAGAGACCCATCTGCATTTCTTTTCATTAGCCTTTCCTAGATAGGTTGGATACTACTCACTGGACACTCTACCATCCTCCCGCCCTGTGGATCTAGGTTCCTTCTTGAAAGCTTATAAGCCAGTCACTTCTTATCTTTGTATCCCTCCCCCCATTTTGGGTAGCCAATGTTCAAGTTGCCCATCCCTATCCACTCTTTGTGTGGAGGGGGTGGGAATAATTCTTGGAGCTGGACTTTGTTTCCTCTTTTGAGCTACTGCATTTATAGGTGTAGGTCAAGTTCATCAAGTTGCATCAGATGACACTTTTTTTTTTTCCTCTTCTTTCTTCCTCGGGTTGAGTTCTGTTCATCCAGTCATTGAAGCCAGGTCAAGTGGGTATCATGTGCAAGTGTGGGCGTTCCTGTGTCCGTCCGCCTTCTTCCTATCGGCTGGTCACTTCGCTCTCCACTCTAGTCCTCTGTGGCTGTGTCACTGACTCTGAGCCCATGAGTCCCCAGGTCCTGCCTTGCTGCTGGGCTACCAAGTCTCCACCCGGGTTCACAGTAGTCTGCTGAACGATGCAGGGCTTAGCTCGCCGCTTCATTGGTGTTCTTCGGTCACTTCTCTTTATGGATGATTGTGTGGTCCCCCAATCAGAGTGTGTATTTCCATTGCGTCTTAGTCTTGGGAGAGGATTTGCGCTGAGAGGACCCAGCCACTTGCCTTGATGTCTCCTGGGCTAGCAACTTCCTTGTTCTTGTGGTAGCAGTCGGACTGCCCTTACTGTTCTGTATTTTTCCTGTAGGTCCTTCTTTCAAGAAGTGTCTTCTGGTTTTCTGGCTGCTCCAGGCTGGTCTGCTTGCTCTTTCAAGAGGAAAGTTTCCCAAGACATTCAATTTTTAACTAGCACTGGACTGGTAACCGTAAGGTAGGCAGTTCAAACCCACCAGCTGCTCTTGGAAACAGTATATTGAGGGGCTATGGTCGGAACCAACTTGAGGGCATACAACAACAACAAACCCTATACAGAATGCAGGTCAAATACTCAATTTTCAGATAAAGACATAGAAACGCAACAGACTCTTAATATTACAACTATTTACAGAACAAGGTAACGGTTTTCATTATAGTAAGCACTGGATTAGTACTGGGCTGTGAACCTCAAGGTTGGTGGATTGAGCCCACCAGCCATGCCACAGGAAAAAAACCACAAGGCTTTCTGCTCCTTGTAGGTTTACAGCCTTGGAAATCCTAAACAGGTTGCTATGCTACGAGTCGGAACCAACTTCAAGGCCCTTAACACGCTAGGCACTTTGACTGACAATAGAATGTGAAAGGCACATTAATCGCCTGAGAAAGTCTACAGACATTTCCATCCTAGAAGTGTAAAGAAAACACAAAGCAGCAGAGAAGTGTTTCTGAGAGATTCTATTATTGGATTAATAAAATAAAATGCTTTCAGGGTTCTAAATTTAGAATAACATTTATAACTGGAAGGAATCTTAGAAACCATCCATTGCAACTTCTTTTGCTTTTTTAAAAGCTTTTATTGTGACTTGAGTGATAGTTTACATGGGAGAACACTGGTTTTGCACTCAACCAACTGTATTTTGCTTCATTGCAATGATTACAATCCCCTTCATGCACCACCGGTTAACAAGATTTGCCTCTATTTTCTCTCTCTCTTTTTTATCCCCCCCAATGTAACAAAACCACGCAGGAACATATAATCATTTAAATAACCAAAGGGCTCATTTTGTAAGCCAGCCTCTTGACTGTTAGCATACATCCTTTCTCTTTCCATTGGTCTAGAGTCCTCAGATGCTCTATCTCTCCATGCCATCAATCTCTGTCTCCATCTCTGGATAGGGTCCTACATTGCATTTGTGCTCTTCTCCCTTGATGGTCCTAAGGTCCTCTGTTTCTGGACTGTAAGATTAACTACTTCTCCCTTTTTGTTACACACATTCTACCTTTACAGTTGTGGCCATCACAATTAGTCATGATAACAATTACTCGCTAATGAATCAAAAGAATCTACCCTCATTTCCTTTTACTAGACCCATCTAGACAAGATGAAGACTATTCAGTGGGGATTCTACCTTTCACTGCATGCTTTGAAACTAAACTCCCTCTTGAAAACTTGTAAGGCAGCCACTTTGTGTATCCAATATCTAAGTTGCCTGTCCCTATCAACCCTGTGTACTGAGGGGATAGGCTTGATCCTTGATGTGAAGACTCCTTCCCTCTCAGTTGGTATTTTGAGATACTACATCCATAAGTATAAGTCAAGTTCATCAAACTGTAGCAATTTATACTTCTTTATTTTCCTCTAGTCAAGTTCTGATCATCAAGCCATTGAAGCTAGGTCATATGGGTTCTATATGCACGTTTGGGCATTCTTACATGTTTCCCTCCCAGTTCATATCAGCTGGATGCTTCACTCTCAGCTCTAGCCCTCTGTGGCAAGGTCAGTGTCCATGGGCTTAGGAGTTCCCAAATCTCCCCAAATTTTGGTTCAACCAGCCCTTCCTCTCTCTCATCTCAAGGTCAGCAGGAGTCTATGGAACATGGTCAAACTCAGTCCATATCTTCATCACTGCCTTTCCCCCACTTCTATTCCCAAGTAGCTCGGGGTCACCAGCGAGCTTACATGCCTGCTCGTGTGTGCCCTTTGAGTTTCAGTGTTGGAAGGGGACACCTTTTTACTAATGAAAAAGCTGAGATAGAAGTTTTATTAGAGGTCACAAAAACTCTTTTTCCATAGTGTCATCAGAATTTAGGTAGTCTTACTCCTGATCATTAAAACTCAAAAACCTACCAAATTCCTCAGAGAGAAAACTCAACTAAAAGAAAATCTAGATAGGAAAATATTTTCTGGCAACATTCCAAAGGAGGAGACCAGCTTTTTTGCCCCATAGGACAGAGTAGATTGCCTTACAGAGTTTTCTTTTTGTTGATTTACGTTTCATTGTGAATTGGGTGAAGGTTTATGGAGATCAGTTTTCCAGTGAATAATTCATACACATTTTGCTTCATGTCAGTGATTGCAAACCCCACAATGTAACCTCAATCATTCCACTTCCTTTCCCGGTGTCTCCCTTTTCCATTCTTCCGTCTTTCCTA